TAACATTTCTTCTATTGCTCTTGCAAATAACCATGTTTTTCATGCACGGACAAAGCACATTGAGATCGATTTTTATTTTGTGTGCGAATGCATCAAGAACAATCAGCTACAAGTGTTGCACATTCTTTCGATTGATCAGTTAGCTGATTTATTCACAAAAGCCCTTAGTTTATCACGTTTTTAGTTGTTACGTGCCAAGCTTACCATTTCTGAACCAAATGTTAGCTTGAGGGGAGGTGATAAGCAAGCTAACGTATTGCCTGGTGCTTCCACTACTACTGCTAAAGCAGGTAGTGATAAGCTATTTTCAAAAGTTCATAGCTTATATCTAAATTTTATGATATAATATAGCTTATTTCATTTTGTAAACATATTATCTATTTACTTTTAATAAAATGATCCCTAAGAGAATTGTCAATTTGTGTTGTAAATATTTATGGTAATGTGTTTAGGATGTGGGCATATATTCTTGCCTAAATTGCGAGCCTCATAAACATGATAAATTATTTTGTGCGGAGGTCGGATGCATCTCTACGTTCGGAGGTGAATTAGGTGCAGCCACGTCAGCGGTACCGAGCCGCAGTACACAACTAAGGGGTGATGTGACACATTCTGGTTGATCTCCAGATGATGTTCGGTGTCTGCACTGTTGCAACTCGGGCTTCTGAGTTTATGATTTTGATGATAACAAATAATATTTATTAATCTTTTATTTCTCCTGGTATTTGCAGTGCATATTTCTTTCTATGTTAACTAATATTTCAGGTACATCTTGCACCGTTCTTTGAAGATTCAAGGCTCAAGATTGCATAGAATTCGTCGTATTAAATGAGTCTGTAATTTTCATTTATTGAGTCAAGTCTTGTAATGATGTATGTTAGTTTGTTGATCATGCACACACAGAGGGAGCAAAAAACGATTATAAACATTTTAACTGATGTAACAGAAATAAATTAAAATATTTTATTTTTCCTGAAAAAATTATTTTTGAATATAACTAATCGTACTGTACGATCACCACATCGTGCTGTACGATATGTTATAATTAGAAACCTCGCCGTCCATTAAATTAGGCAAAGATTTGAATTTGAAAAGTTGTTCTAATCGTACTGTACGATCATGATCGTACTGTACGATGAACGGCTTAATTTTGATATTTTGGTCGTACTGTACGAACTGGATCGTACAGCCCATCGTACAGGACATCGTACAGTACTAACAGGTCAATTTCTGCACATCGTACTGGACGATCTTGAGATCGTACGGTACGATATTTGACGGTTGAATTGAGTATTTTTAGGGTTTTTTGAGCCCTCTATTTAAGCACTCTCATAAGACTTTGTAAGAGTCTTTGGCAGCCATTGTGTCTTCATTCTTTTGGAGAAAACTTGAAGAGAGGACTTGAAAGGGAGAGAGGAAAGGGTGAAGTTTGAGAGAGGGAGAAGATCCTTGGAGGGGGTTTCAAGGGAGTGTGAAGGAGATCACACAGTTGCTCCGGCGAGCTTGCACCTCAGTACCATCGGATTCAAGGTTCATCTTGAAGGAAGTTTTGGGAAGAAGAAGAAGTCATTGGTGTCAAAGGACCCGGCTCCTCCGCCGCACCGGGGAAGGTGGAAGTGATTGTGTAAGGGCTTCTCCGCCTAGCTGTGGGAGCTAAAGGAGAATCACTAAAGGTTTAGTGTAATACTCGGAGGGTGCCTCCGAGGAGTGGACGTAGGTCATGGTTTGACCGAACCACTATAAAAATCTTGGTGTGTTCTTTCCTTTATTTTTCTGCACTTTAGTTTTGCATTTATTTTTATTGTGGTTAATTGCGTCGATGAATTTGATTATATATCTTTTTATTGTGAATGAAATTCGCTTCCGCATAAAGTCATAAAAAGATATTTCTTTTCATTAAAAGAAGTTTTTAATCATCGAATTCACCCCCCTCTTGTCGTTCAGTAATTATAATTTACATTGAGATTATTTAAAGATTATTAGATTTTTTTTTTGAGATTAGTGTAATATAGAATTTCCATAAATAATACTACTTTTAAAGCATATATAATATTTTTGATAAAAAAAAAGAATACCAATTATATTAAAATATCCTATCATAGTTTTTTTTTTCATTTATCATTTAATTAGATTTAAACGAGAATTTGACTTTTAATAGGACACAATGGAGAAAAAGGATTCATGTAGCCGACCCCACGTAGTGGGATAAAGGCTTGATGTTGTTGTTGTTGTATCATTTAATTAAGTATTAGCAATAATTATCAGTTTTAATTTCATGAATAATTTCTCTAGAATATAATGGTTTTGATTTTTTTAAATTATTGCATGTAGACATAAATCTAGTGAAAATAAATTCAACATTTTAAAAATATTATTTATAATAAATTTAATTATTTTTTATTTTAGATGATAATGATATTAATAATAATGATTACCATTACTATGATGATATATATCATGGTTTTGATTTTATTTGTAATTTTAGTTTAATTAATGCCCATGATAATTAATTATTCTTATATTAATCATTAATAAAAAGAATAAAAATTTACTTGGAGTCTAGCTAGTTTTAATTATGTATATCATTAATCAAAATAATTATAAATATCCTTAACAACTAATAAATTTATTTAAAGCTATTTTTAGAATTGTACACATTTAGATCTCAAATATTTTCTCATGCAATTAGAAACATTGTTAATAAGATTTTGATACATTCAACTGATGATATTAATTTTAATGGCATTATAGAGAGTTGGTTGTTTCAATCTACTTATGTGGGTATATTATCAAAATCTCTTATGCTTATATCATACACAAAGCTTCTCTCTTTATTTCTATAGCTAGAAGATTTCCTCTAATGAATTACATGGCTTCTTAGATTTAGTAGATTTAAGCTTCATTTAGGACGATTTTCTTATTACTTAATGCAGTTTTTTAGTACAAAAATTTTAAATTTTGTACTGAAAATTTGTTTTAATAAACAGTAAGAAAGCTATCCCAAACAAAACCTTCCTTTGCTTAAAGCACTCAAATAGTTGAAAATTGAGCTTTTAATTTTTTTGTTATAATTATAGTGACAATTAGATGTGAAATAGATCATAAGAAAATTCGAAGGCATCTGTTCATGTCATTAATGAGAGGGTTTTATTCAAACGGTTGTAGACTTCAGTAGTTAGATGATGTTGTTGGCTTGATCTCCTGGCAATTGAGAACACTAGCAAGATTGTAATCTTCTCTAATTTAGGCTTAGTTTGGGACGGCTTTCTTATTGCTTCGTAAAGCAGCTTTTTAGTACAAAAATAAAAAAATTTGCACTAGAAAGCTGCTTTAAAAAGCAAAAAAAAAAGTCGTCCCAAACGAAGCCTTAATTTGATAGAATAGGGAAGTGGATATTATGCATATGATTCTTTCATAGTGCCCAAAGTTTACTTAGGCTTCATCTGGGACGGCTTTCTTACTGCTTCTTGAAACAGTAAGGAAGCCATATCAAACGAAGTCTTAGGCTTCGTTTGGGATGACTTTTTGACTGCTTCTTAAAACAGCTTTTAAGTACAATAATTAAAATTTTTGAACTAAAAAACTGCTTTAAGAAGCTGTCCCAAACAAAGTCTTAGAGAGGATGCTAATTTAGCATAATCACTCCATCTATTTTATATTTCTATGCATCAAATAAATACAATCTTAGGATATAACTATATTGTTGCTTAAGGTTTCTTAGTTAAATTGGTACATGTGTAGGTTGAAAATAGCCCAATTAACTTAACCATTTTGGAGTAGATTGGAACTTCTTAACAATTAGAGTCATATAGAATGTTGAAATTATAGCTCTGTATAAAGACTTTCCATCTATAAATCAATAGAAATAAAGAATGGGCTATAAAATATATGTTGGAGGCCCTTTTAGACCAAGGCATGGATGGTTCTCTATTAATTCAATGTCTCTCTCGTAGTGTGTTTAAGGTGCTTGCCATAATTTACAAGCTCTTCTAGGGTGAGTCATGAGTCATAGTCCCTTAATGCATAATTTATTGTGGGAGTTGAATAAGATGAAAGTGAGAGTTTTTATATTTGAAGATTAGGGGTGTCAATATTTGACACGACTTAAAAATTCAACCTGCAAATTTTGGATTCGGGTCAACTCGAACCCGAATTGGGTCCAGTTCGGGTTAGGGGTTTTGACCCGTTTGTAAAACCAGGTCGGATTTGAGTTGATCTGAAAATTGAAATCAACCCGGTTTGACCTATTTTTGATTAATTTAGGAGGGTTTTAAAAGATTGTTATGAAATGAGTAAATGCTATTTAAAAAAAAAATGATAAATCATGTTGTCCAAATTGAATTAAGCTTGATTTATTTTTAAATTGATTAAAGTAAATCTTACCTTAATTTGATTTAGATTTAAATAAATTGAATTAAATAAAAAAAATTTAGTAAAACATACTCGAAGCAGGTCGGATTCACGTCCAAAAAACCGACATGTTTGAAAAAGCGGGAGGGGTTCGGGATCGGGTAGAATAGTGCTGGGTCAGGTCCTGGTTGTTCCCGAACCCAACCCGTGACCCGATTTTGACAGCCCTATTGAAGATATCTCAAGTAAATGTATACTTATAGCCCTTTTGGTAATAGTATTTTTATGATACATAAATAAAGTATATATTGGAATTTGAATGGAGTTAATAGATTCATATTTGGATTAAGTTAGATATGAACAAATGATATAAAATTGAGTCATATAATATACATTTGAGACATGTGAAGCATGACAATATAAGAAAATAAATATAATTATAATTAATTATTATATAAAAATATTTATGTTTAACTTAAAATAAAAATATTAAATCTAAAAATTGTTATAACTTTTGAATCATGCCTTTTTTAAAACTAAGTTCAATATCCCAAATAGGAAGAAAATATTGTGAAAATAAATATCTTATTGCTATAAATTGACTTTATTAATTTCTATAAAATAATAATGTGCCTTTTAAAGATGTTTCTTCTTGTTGTTTGGTTATGTGTGAAGCTTCCTCTCTCTCCTATTGGGAAATTGATGGATGGACCGGTGTTCCTTCCTTAAATCGCAACGCTTGCCAGATCCCATCGCCCCGCGGAAATGGCGTGCGACCGTTGCTTGCAATACCGAAGCATAACTTATCGCTGCTCCATAGATGCTTAGTATTGTCTTCGTCTACTGTTTTGTTGAGCTTTGTTTCTTCTATCCCTAAAAGTAGGCCGTTGCGGGTGTGGGTGCGGGTGCTACGGCTTGGTTTCTTCTGTTTGATGCCGCCAAGGAGAAGAAAGGGAACGGAACTGACTAAGGCGGTAGAGCTGCGGGTTGGAGATCTGGTTCTCGAGAAGGTCTAGGGATTTCCCGCGTGGCCTGCATGAGTACGCACGGTAATTTCAATTGCTGATTTGGGCTTTGATTATTCTTTTCGATCTGTAAACTTTCCTTCATGAATTGTACTTTTTAGGCCTTGATGATACAAACGTTGGTTATCAAAAGATGATTTTTAGCGATATTTTGGTGCTTGATGAATCAAGGATACACTTGCGCCATTTTTTCCCAATGTTATCTTTTTAGCGGGATAGGGCTGTAAATGGCGCTGTTCCCTAAACCCTAAACAATGAAACAAGGAAAATAATTTTTGTTGTTGAGGAATAGGTAAAATGTTTAGTGTGCGCCTGCAAACATTGTAGACTTGTATTTTGTGGTTGAAGAATAGGTGGGGTTTAAGAAAGTCGGTAAATATTCATTTTCTTGATTATCAGCTCTTGGCCTAGCTCTTATATTTTTGAAGTTCCTCTTTCGGTTGATGTTGATAGATAGATTGCCTTAATACAGATAACTAGATAAGTAGATCGGATTCCCTGATCCAATGAAGTACTTGCTCGAGTTCTTTTTTGGTACTTACTAGTTGCTCATGTTCAACATCTGAACTTCTTTTCTTGTATTAAACAGGCTTGAAAGAGTAGGAGCTATAATTGCAGTAGCGATTGTATCTAGCTTTATTATGATGAATTGATAGAATAATTGGAGCATCATGAATAATAATGACAAGGGAAAGAGGAAGTGAGGAAGATAACATGGCATGTGAAAGTATGTCTGCAAACAATTTAGGATGAATGTTGATGTCTTAAGGGTGAAATTATCTTAAGACATTAGGTTAGAAGCTATTAGTTGGAGTTGTTCTAGGGTTTAGATTTGGAATTTGTCCATACATGTTGATTTTTGCCTGGATCAAATTCACCTATACTAATGAATTACTTTTTGTTGATCAGTGGTGATGGTTCATATTGTCCAAGGGAAGGACATCTAATGGATGGGGTAAGGCCAATTTTTTTATTAGGTCAACAAATATGTCCAAGATGGCCATAAGTTGACCTAGTAATTGATGCAGTGGATCGTTGGAAGAATCGGACTAGCAAGAAGGCAATCCCAATCCAGGGAACAAAGAGAAGCACAAAGCTTCAAAAGAGGATAATATTTATCAATGTTTCAACTCTTCTTACATCATACTATATGTAATAATTAGGTAGAAAACTAGAGAAAACTAGAAAGTTCTAGAATCCTATAACAAGCTTGTAACAAACTAGATAATATACGTCTAAGGAACGATTTAAGCTAAAATGCTCCGCATCAGTAATCAATGCCTAACAGGTGCTGAAATTACATGCAAGTTTGTGGGTTCTCTTGATTATTGGTCTTGACATTTGTGAGATATAAAGCTGTCATTACAATTGAAGGTCCTAGCTAGAATTATGCATAGAATTTTGTATAAAAGTATGCATGTAAGAGATTTTTCAGTAGTTTGGATTGGGTTTTGTATTGATTAGCAACATACAAGAATGTGGTGGGTTTATAGAAATGACTACATGTGAGGCCTAATGGTTATATTAAGCTTTGGGGGTGAGCTACTGTTGCTTCAATTGATGCTAACATTTTGGTGGTTATGAACATCTCTTCCCGAATGATTTATCTTATAATTAATGCGACAAATTTTGGTTGTATATGATTCAGGCTAATATTCCTTTCATGAGGAATTGCCCAAGTAGCTGAGATATCCTTGTAAGGCTCATGGTGAAATGCACATTCCACTTCTTTGGGATTGAATTTGATTGGTTTATTTGGAAAAAAAAATATTTAGAGGGTGCTTTTGAGTGTTAGTAATGACTTTTGGAAATCAAGGATTTTGATTGGTTATTCTTTTTATTAGTGGATATTGATGTTAATGCAATACATGCAACATTGGCTAATCGATTTGCAAATTTTGCACAACATGAATCAGTTCAAGTTCTAATTTTCATATGCTAATCTTAAGGTTTTAAAACTTAAACAAAAGGGATGATCCAAATCAGCATTCATGTGCAATCAGCCTTTAGAGCTCCTCTCTTCAAGTTACACTAACTCCTATCCTTAAAAGAGCTCTTCTCTGACGGCCCTTTGTTGTCCTCACCACCCATTTTGTTGAGACCCACTGGCTACGTCTAAAGAGGATCCCAACCACCAGCTGCCAGAAGACGAAGTTATACGCTTTCTTTTCTTCTTGCTGCCAGGTATTAGGAAGTAAACTGTGTAAGAGCAAGATTTTATCTCTATGTAGCCAGTTAATTTTTATAGAGTTTAGAGGGTGGTAGGTTTGTATTTCAAAGTTAGGTAGAATTTAAGTTGTGTAGGTTGCAAACTTGGAAAGATTTTAGGTAGAATTTTAGCTTGGTAGGTAGCAATTTTGCGAAGAGGTTAGATTGAATTTCTAAGAGGATTTTACTCTTCAAACTTCACATATTAATGCTTTCGGCCTGGGTTTGTGGTGCTTATGCGAAACTTAAATCCTAGATTCACTTATCCTTTCTTTTTAAGGCAAAGATTCACTACTTTACATTTATTGGAGCTTCATGCTCTCTTTTATACCCTTTTTTTAAATTTGTTGGCTACTTTCTATGTTTTGGTGAAGCTCCTGTTCTAAAAATGCTATTTTGTGTGGTAGTCGTACATCAACCCTTCAAAAGCCTTGGGTGGTTCGGATTCTTATCGAGGCTGCGTTGTTTTTTTTTTTTTTGCTTTTTAAAGATTGAGTTTTCCTACAAAGGTGGATGAAAATGGGCAAGGCACAACATCTGAACTTTCCATCCTGAATATTAAAGTGTATAATGATCTTAAAATGCGAAAAAGCCATAAAGGACAAGAGAAAGTGAAGAAGGTTTATTCTGTGGGTTGTGAACCTGCTCGTGAAGTAAGAGCAGAGTTCACCTCTGTAGATTTTCTTGGAGATGCTCAGAAGTTGGAAGGACAAACTACCAATGGGGTAAAACCTGGCACTGTGGTACGTAGCAAGAAAAAATCAGCTGAAAATTACATGCCAAGGCAAGATCCTCTAAAAGGAAAACTAGCAACTTCAGAGGGCAATCTAGTATTGGAGGCTTCTGTAGACTATAGAGGTGACTGCTTCCAGTTTGGAGCTATTACACGTAAAATGATTGGTAATGCAGATTTTTCCTCTGCTAAAAGATCAATATTTAAAGATGAGAGAGTTAATAGCTCCAAAAACTCCAGTAAAAATGAATCATCACATTTCATAGAAGCAAAAAGGAATAACAAGAATCCAAGTATTATAAGGTCCGGGTCTATAAGAGCTGATAATTGCACCCCATCTACAACAGAGCCATATGATAACATGAACACGCCACAACTAATGAAGTCGTTTAAGGGATCAGGTGATGTTTCAATTTCTTCATCTGCTGGCATTGAAGACTTAATAAAGAAGAGCTTTAACGGGACTAATGGAAGGAATTTTAAACACAATAAGACCTCTGGTACCCATGTGCGCTCTCGAAGGAGAGCATTGAGGTTTGTGGAAGATGATGATGGGGAAGAATGTAGAACTCCAATTCACCATGTTACAGCGGTCACCTTGATGAGAGAATATTCAGGCACATTTGATTCTGAAAGAAAATCTCAAATGCAGCCAGAATCTTGCAAAGACTTTCCCCAGAATGCTTCACTTTCAAATACGGGTTTCAGTTTAATTGGGAATGTGGGCTCTAGAGTTGATGAAAGACCTAGCAATCTCACTGGGAATATGGAGATGATGGATAGTTGCTTTTCAGCTTCTAGACCACGTAATGTTGAAGCAAATGTGCTGAAATATTCTGCAAACTTGCTTGAATGCTCAAATTCTGTGAAGCAAAAAAAGTTTAAAACTGCTTTTCCAAATGGCAGAGCAGCCAATGAAAAACTGGCAACCTTAGTTTGCCCTGGCAATATGGACAAGTTGGCGAGTCTCAAAACTCTCAAGGATCAGGTTAGAGGGGAAAATCCTTATAATGCTCAGTTTGGTGAGTCGTGCAAAGCTTTTGGAACGTCACACTTTTCTTGCAGTCCTGCCATCTCACAAAATCCTAAATTACCTTTGGAGAAATCCAAATCCAACAGTTCGGGACTTACTTTTACTGAGAACAGCTCCATTGTTAATTTTTCAGCTGAGTGCTATACTGTGAAAGATGTTTCAGCAGGACAAAGGTATATATTTATATATGCTGATGCTCTATTTTGTATATGATAATTCATTCAGTGCGTTTATCAGTTAAGGAAACTTTTCTAATTATTTATTTGCATGCAGATCTGATATTACGAGGGAAGCTACTTCTGCTGATTCTTCTGCTGATAGCAAATTGACTGATTCTGGTATGTCGATGAAACATCTTATTGCAGCTGCTCAAGCTAAAAGAAGGCAAGCACATTCTCATCAGCTACATGATGGAAATGGTACCCCTCGTTCATCCCTCACTCCACAATGTATCCGTGGGAGAAGCCCCAACCAAATGTCTACCGTGCAAACTCTCCCATCAGGAGGAGATCCTTTTCAGAAAGATAAAAAATGGTTTCAAACTTCTGTTCATAATGAGCCTTCTCTGACTTCGCATCAGTTTCTTCCTGAGAAATGGAGAGACCATGAGGATTTTGACCACAGACCTAGTACAAGAAACCTGCAACCTACTGATTCTTCAAGTGGTGGTACTGAAGCTGCAGTTGCTCGAGATGCTTTGGAAGGAATGATAGAAACATTATCACGGGCTAGAGACAGTATTGGACGCGCAACTCGTCATGCTATCGACTGTGCCAAATATGGTATTGCCAATGAGGTGTGTGGATTTCCTAATAATTATTATTTCTAGAAGCTTCGAACTGTTAAATTCTTATCAAAATCATGATGCTCCACATAACTTGGGGTTTACATCAAACTTTATTTTTAGTCATAGTTTCCAAGTGAAATTTACTTAATCATAGTTTCCAAGTGAAATTTACTTAATCAGGTACTTTATTCATATGCTCATTTGCAGGTCGTTGAACTTCTTATCCACAAATTAGAAGGTGAACCTAGCCTTTCTCATAGGATAGACCTGTTCTTCCTTGTGGACTCTATTACTCAATGCTCTCATGCTCAGAAAGGTGGGTGCTTACAGATTTATAGTGTGGTTTACATCCTTTTCTGGTTTAATTTGAATTCAATCAAGATGCTTATCATCATGGAAAAGTACTTGTTTTATTGCTACCTGTTTATGTAGGCCTCTTTTGAATGATTCCTTAAGATTTTCTCAATTTTCGGTTTTGATTGACATTTTTTTCTCCTACTAATAACTTCTTTCCTCCACATAAACCATGTCTTTCATGTACATACTTCATCCCTCTGCTGCAATATCCTTTCGTCCTCAAAATGCTAAAGCAATTTTCCTATTTGAATGCATGTGGGTATGTGTATGTATATGCATTTATATCTTTTGTTTTACATAAAACATAGGTAAATATTCTAATTGCACGGGGCTTCCAAAATTTTTAACATCTCATAACTGCGTTTTTGAAATTTCCTAGGCATTGCAGGGGCATCATATGTTCCTATTGTGCAAGCAGCTTTACCACGCCTATTGGGTGCTGCTGCTCCTGCTGGGCCTTCCGCTCATGAGAATAGACGTCAATGTCTAAAGGTATTTCTGTTGAAACAAAGTGTTCTTTTTGGTGTTATTAATAGGAATAGCTAAAGCATCTTCTATCTGCATTATTGAAATGTTGTGTAAAGGTTTTGAGGCTGTGGCTGGAGAGGAAAATTCTGCCAGAATATTTTCTTCGTAGCTGCATGGATGAAATTGAGGTTCGTAATGATGGCTTGAATTCTGAGGTTTCTCATAGAATTCCATCTTGTGTTGAGCAATGTGTGGATGATCCGATTAGAGAAATGGAAAGCTTGCTCGTTGATCAGTATGGAAGGTATACATCAGTTGTGATTTATAAATTCTCCTTGCTATTTTCGTACAATATGGCATTAGCACTTTTTATTGTTTTGTTTGTTTTTCCTGTACTTAATTCTTGCTTGTGTTCGTGTTATGTGAACTCTTGTTTCTATCTCTTGGGAAATATGATCTCCATTGGACCTATTAGTGCTTTAATTAGCAACATTGACTAATTTATTATTTTCTAAACCCTATTCTTTGAAAAAATAATTTAAAGAAACTTCTATATATTAGTTTGATTATGCATCTTTTATTTTGTAGAGTGAGTTGTTTTAAATTTACCTATCCCTTAATTTTATTGATTTAGCTATTTTATGAAATTCTTGTATATATTATTGGAGAAGATTCATGGCTTGTTTGATCAGGATGATTGATGGATCCGACTGAAATATAAATGCTGTTTAGTTTAGTTTCTTGCTTTAGGCCTTGGTTTGTTGATAATTGCTTCAAATAAATGTTGCCGTCCTTTCAGCGTATTTTGTTTACTTTTCGGGCGAGAGTGGGGTGGGGTTTGTGTTGATTGTTGTTGATAGCCAAATGCTTGCAATATCGCGAAATGAATTTTCATTAAGGCCAATTTGAACCTTCTTTCTTTCAATTTAAATCTAAAATCAGGATAGAATATTTTCCATATATATGTTGCAATTGTCCATTCATACTTTAACCATCGTGATGAATTTATGTTCATAGTTAGCGGCTGCAAGGAAAAAACAAGAAGATTCTCACTATGGTATTTATGTACATTTGTAGTATTTACAAAGACCCTAACGCATGTATTTGCTTATTGTAATGTTTGGCTTTAATTACAATTTTTGCTCTCATTCTATTGTACTCTGTATGCAAGATTGCAATCTCAAGTATGAGTTGTTTGTTTCTATATGGTAGGAGGGGGAATTGTTGGGGAATTTCCTTGTTTGAATGAGGAGCTGCAGGGAAAGGGATCATGCAAGGGATTATAATCCACAAATATGAACATGATGACATGGATATAAGACTCATCAATTATTGACAAACAGTATATGTATTAAAAATAGTAAATAGAAATTGAATAAGTAGAATATGAAGAATAATTTAGCAATAATAATTCATTTAGTTAGAATTTGTGATTAAAAGGATTAATATTAGGATTTTTAGAGCCAGAAATCGATGTGATGTCAAATGTCATGTGTCAGGCATCAACAGGGGAGTCAGCAATGCTGTTGAGATTCGAATATCGATGTTGTGTAATTTTCTTAGTGGTCGATGTTGAGACGATGTCGGTTATCAATATTAATATGATGCTAGACAAAGATGAGATGCTGAGACGATGCGAAGACATGATTGTGGATGTAGAAATTGTTGATGTCGCATGTCAATGCTAAGACAACATTGGACTTCATTGTTGAGATTGTTTTGAACATTGATGTTGTGACGGCGTTAGATGTTGTTGAGATGACATCGAGTATTGTTGTGAAATCTTAATCGTGATCCGCGAGAGACATGAAAATGGGAATGCTCAGGGAATGGGGTATTGAATGCCGACGATTGATTTTGTGTTATGGAGAGGAAATAAGGGGTTGTTTGGTTGGAAGAAATGTGAATGCAAAGTAAATTAAATGCATTACTTTTTCACTTTTTGGTGTTTGGTTGGATGAAAAATAAATCCAAGATAAATTAAAATAAATACAATATATTTCATTTTAGTTTATTTTTGAGGTAAAGCGTTCTCGCCCAATTTTAAGCGAATACGCTTTACACCGCTCAAGTGCTTCCTTAGCCACCCACGATGGCCACCGTCTTCACCGCCACCTGTTATTTGCCTCCGCCGCCGCCCAACCCAGTCACAACCTTCTTACAATTTACGTAACATTCATTTTACTTCAAAAGAAAAAAAGTAAAGTGCTTTCGCTCATCCAAACAGCTCAAAAGTATCCCTTTTACACTACATTCCTTTTACTCTGCATTACTTTTTCAGGTAGCCAAATAGCCCATAAGAAATTTAGTTTTGATTTTTTTTAATAAATAAAATTTTGAAATGTAATAAATTATATTATTTTTTTTATATAAAATATTTAAGGCATGCATGTCAGACACGTGTGTCCAATTTATTTTTAGTATTTTTTAATCGGACATGTTTGCGGTGTATTTAACATGTATCAGGGGTGTATCATATGCATGTCGTGTCCAATATGTGTCGGACATTATATACCTCTTTTAGTAGAAGTGAGATGCATAATAAGTGAGGGATGGAATCTAACCAATCTTTATTTAAGTAGCTATTTTTGTCAACATCCGTTTGGAATCTAGTGGTCAACTGCGAATTCTATCCATATTTGGTGGTAGATTCATGTTTAGTAAATGAGTGAATGGAGTAATAATTTTGCTATGTTTGGAACTTATATGATTTCTTGGTCAATTGAGATTTACTTTTTATAGAAGATTGGGCGCCATGGGTTATCAAATTCATTTATGATCCAATGGTCGGTTGGTTTTTAAGGCAAGAAGTGTGACAGGATGACAATAAATAGTATTGAAAATTATATAACAGGTTTAGATACTTAGGAAGGTGTAATAGATTTATATAAAAATTATGTAAGAGAGTTCGTGATACTGATTCAATAAGACCTTAATTAAAGATGAATACATCAAAGAAAGATGGAAATTTTATGTAATTTATATTAAGAAATTGTAAAATGAGAGTTTTATGGAAGAAATTTCTTTAGAAGGGCATTATTAACATAATCATAAAATATACTACAGATTTATAAATAATTGTATTTGAGTTGGCTCCAGCTACGATGCAAGATGATAAAGCTGTTTTCCTAGAAGATATATCTTTTAAGATTTGAGTAATGTGAAACATCGGTGCAATTTAGTTAACAAATCATTTCAATGGAACCTTAAAAACTAATGTTGTTCTTGGTTCCATTTTTCTCTTAACTTTTTCAGAAAATGGTTTTGTTTAATACAGGAAATATCCTTGAAGTATCACCATTTTTGCATGCACACTTTTTTTTTATGGCTTCATGACCTATGAACTAACTGATGAAGCAACTTATATTTTTATGTGACAGTATATTGATTTTATTAATTGCGCTATGTAGACTCCTCCTGTCTTAGTTATTTGTATACTTTTGATCCCTTGTCTTAAAATAAAGTGGGTTAAGGATTGGGTTGTTCACTTGTTCAGGTAACTCAATTGGGTATGCCCGAGTCATAGGGGGCTTTTGCTCCTAGTGCGTCCATGCTTAGTCCTCCCATGGTTTTCAAGATTTAGCTAAATGGCTTATCATCCGAAATTTGACACAGGGATGTGTGGACCTCCGAAAAGAGCACCGCGCGAACGGGTCGATTGGAAGGGCAGATTGGATCGTGCATACGACTAACCATTGAAGATAGAGGCTGACGCCAACACACCTCGATGGATAGTAATATACACGACCTAGTCACGGGTTTCCCCCATCCGAAAAAAAAGTTCGAATGGGGTTTAGTAGATTGTGGGGCCAAGTTTCCCACGGGCGCAAGCCCCCGTGGTTAATTACACCGGAGCCTGAGAAAACTCTCGATTAAGGATCATACATTAT